AAAAAAAAAAAAAAAAAAAGTCAAAAAATAACAGATGCTGGCAAGGTTGTGGAGAAAAAGGAACACTATACACTATTGGTGGGAGTATAAATTAGTTCAGCCATTGTGGAAGACAATGTGGCGATTCCTCAAAGACCTAAAGACAGAAATACAATTTGACCCAGCAATCCCATTAAGGGGTATATACCCAAAGGAATACAAATCATTCTACTATAAAGACACACACACATGCATGTTCACTGTAGCACCATTCACAATAGCAAAGACAGGGAATCAACCTAAGTGTCCATCAGAGATAGACTGGATAAAGAAAACGTGGTACACATACACCATGGAATACTATGCAACCATAAAAAAAAACAAGACCATGTCTTTTGCAAGGACATGGATGGAGCCGGAGGCCATTGTCCCTAGCAAACTAACACAAGAACAGAAAACCAAATGCTACATGTTCTCACTTATAAGTGGGAGCTAAATGATGAGAACATGTGGACAGATAGAAGGAACAACACACGCTAGGGCCTTTCAGAGCAGGGAGGGTGGGAGGAGGGAGAGAAGCAGGAAAAATAACTAATGAGTACTAGGCTTAATACCTGGGTGATGAAATAGTCTGTGCAACAGACTCCTATGACACAAGATTATCTATGTAATAAACCTGCACTTGTACCCCTGAACTTAAAATAAAAGTGAAAAAAATGTGGTGCACATACACCATGGAATACTACAAAGCCATAAAAAAAAGAACAAAATCATGTCCTTCGTAGCAACATGGATGCAGCAGGAGGCCATTCTCCTAAGCAAATTAACACAGAAACAGAGAAGCAAACACCACATGTTCTCACTTACAAGTGGGAGTTAGACATTGGGTACTCATGGACCTCAAGATGGGAATAATAGACACTGGGGACTATTGGGGGGCTGAAGGGATGGGGGCAAGGGTTGAAAAACTCTTGGGTACCATGCTCACTCTCTGGGTGACAGGATCATTTGTACCTCAAACCTCAGCATCACGCAGTATTCCCGTAACCAACCTGCACATGTACCCCCTGTATCTAAAATAAAAGTTGAAACTATAACAAAGCAAAACAAAACAAAACAAAAAACCCACTAGCATTTGTAAGCCTTATTGGAGTTAGGCCTTCACACTGTAGCACCCAAGGATGGGGGCCTTTGTGTCGGGAGGGGAGACCATGAGCAGTC